TGTCATCAGCTTGTACTGATGCGATTAGCTCACCATAGGAGACCAAACTAATCCCTCTGTTGTACCACCTACAACCAATGTAATCAGCTTGTACTATTGTGATTAGCTTACCATAGGAGACCAAACTAATCCTTCTGATGTACCACCTACAACCAATGTAATCAGCTTGTACTGTTGTGATTAGCTCACCATAGGAGACCAGTCTGTTCCCTCCTCTATACCACCTGTCATCACTATAATCAATCTGTACCATTATGATTAGCTCACCATAGGAGACCAAACTAATCCCTCTGTTGTACCACCTACACTGTAGTACCACTAAATCCCATTATCGGTCCAAAATAGTCTTTGTCTGAACAACTCTGTCATGAGTGCCTTCTCCTTTCTGTGATAGTTTCTACTCATTTATCTTGAAAATAACTTAATTTCCTGCCAAGTGCTGCATGAAGAATAGAAAAATATGGAATTAAGGAGATTTTGTTTATTTCATTTGAGTTGTGACTGAAAATATCAATAGATTTTATCATGCAAACATTGGCAAAGATGCAGTCATTGTTTTCCAATTTGTAGATATTATGGAAAATTACCCCATTTCCTTTGTAGTCTTTTTCCTTATCATTGCTGTCTAGGTATATAGGCTGTGCTGTGTGAATGTAAAAATGAACCCACCACATTTCTACAACTGTGCAGAATAAAAATTAATGTAATATTTCCCTGACATTACATGATCACACACACACACATGCACACACACACACACACACACACACACACACACACACACACACATGCACACTCACATGCACACACACACACACCTAGCAGAGTATCCCTAACCATAGTGTTATATTCAGATTGTTGACCTAGTTTTAGTCTGGCTGTAAGCTATATTTCAACAGTGACAAGATAATCTCCTAATGACACCCTTTAAGGAGGATTTATGACAGCAGAGAAGTAAATATTATTACTAGTCTAAGTATTCACATTTTTCATTTGTCTTTCATAAAAAAAAGTCATTGTCAAAGCTGGTGTAACATGTCAATCAAAATTTCTGTAAAAGTTTCAATGAGATATTTCTGTGGTATAGTTAAAAATAGTATTAGACAGTCATTCTTTGCTAGTGGTGCACTGCAGGGGGGCCATAACAAGAATGTTATTTAAATTTAGATAGCCAACCAAATTCTCATGACATCGTTGTGTATGTTTCAATAACAAATCAAAGAAGCTGCATGAGCAAGGAGGATGTTGTTATAAAAGCAAAAAAATAGAAAAAGCAGAAAATATATCGAAATAACCCTCAAAATGGCGTCCTTTTTTGTGGAATTTTGACCCTACCTCTATTTAAGAACAGTTTGTTTAGGGTTTGAATGGATTATTGAAGCAGGAAATACATCTACTGCAAGAAGATATAATAAACAGAATGTGCAAATTGTTATTTAAATAAAAATTTATTTGAAGTCACTGAAAAATGATCACAAAATTAGCTTAACTTACGATACATGCGGTGTCCCACCCCGATGAAAATTTCATCTAATCCTATCTTTCCGTATTAAAACTGTTCAATCGTCCAAAGTAGTATGTCGGTTAGTTTGTGTCACGAAGTCCATGATAATATCAGTTTTCTTAAGAATTTCACATTTATTGCTCAGCAAGGTCGATTTTTCTTCACCGCGTCCCAATATAACGTTCGCAACGCTGAAACTTCAGAGATCGATTTTTATCAGACGACTTTAAAATGCCGCGTGAAAATTATACATCGATAGCGATCTTCTTCCATACTCACTAACTGATGACGTCTTACACACGAATGGCTTCTTTTGCACACTAAAAAAACCAGCTCAAACTGGCGGGTGGCCCATTCTGATAAC